TATTAATTTTCTGTGTTCTGAATATTCATGGTTGATTAATTAACATAATCAATTTGTCATGCTAGCTCATTAGCATATTGTCCGAACCTCCCAAGTGCTTGGTTACCTTTGTTTATTACCAGAACAGAGGTAACTAGGCAAGTGAGTTATCCTTAATCGGTGCATAATTAAGGAAACCAAAACCCCCTTGTGGCTTAGGAGATTTTAAGTTAATCTTGAAGTGGATAAATTGATAAACAGAAACTGTGGATTCATTGGCTCTTCGCTCGCAGGTAGTTGAATCCTTCTCAATCACCGCAGCTTAATTTTTGGCATTATTGTCATTACCTACGCTGGCACAGATGACAGATTGTTCGAGTAAAGCTCGGCTAGGGCTAGTGGCTAGTGGCCAGGCATATTTTTCAACCGTGCCCTGTGTGTATATACACTCAGAGTAACATCACAAGCATCATATTCACCTGAGTACACAACACCAACACAGAAAAAATCATGATTACTAGATTACATTGATATCGAAGGAACTAGATTCTGTTCCGAAATATCACATGCTCGAACCGACCTGACCGCGTAGCTCAGTTGGCAGAGCATTGGCCGGACTAGTATTCCAAAGGTCGTAGGTTCGATTCCCACCGTGGCCAGGCATATTTTTCAACCTTGCCCGGTGTGGATATACACTCAGAGTAACACCACAAGCATCATATTCACCTGAGTACATATTACACCAACACAGAAAAACTTTTTATTCTGAGCTAACAAAGGTAGAAAAAACTTTTCTTTTGTTTTGCCTTACAGTAGTTCCTACATTGTCTTTGCAAACCCCAAAGGTGCAGTTTACTTTTGTATTCCTAAAACCGAGTAAAAGGCGTTCAATCCGGTATAAAAGGCATAAATAAGGTGGATGCAGATCAGAATAACCATGCTGTATGCAGGAAAACGTTTTGTGTGTTTAAACTTAGTCTAGCAATGCCTAAACACAAGTACGGATTGTTGCTATCTCAGCTGTTAGATTGTGTTTCCAAACCTTTAGAGGAAGAGCAGGTTTGGGCTTTGTGCTTTGGAGTAGGTCAAAGTTTATTGAATTATCCGGGGAATACTGCCAGCGATGCAATCGTGTTGAGCTGTTGTGAAGTAACATTTGCAGTCGAGACGATTTACCTGCGACGAGATGGGAAGATTCTGTTCATTCCTAGCAGTAATTCACGTAAAAACCTCGCACAAGAAAGCCATGAAAGTTTAACAAAGCAAATGAAACATCTAAGCAAAGTTTTAACCACTTGTTTAGAGAATGGCGGGCCTAAAGAGTTTTTAAAACGTCAAGTTGGCAGTGATCTAGAATCATTGATGCGCGATTTGGCCGGCTTTGGTAAATATACGCACAATGGTCCACAATGGGTGGAGATGGTGGTTGATTGTTGTAGAAGTCATGCATCAACTGTGGTGACACCCTCGGAGTATTATACTGGCATTTGTGAGCTGTTGGTGAAAGAAGCGATGGAAATGAATAATTTCCTAGTGGTGGTGATGAACGAGATATCACAATGTGAATCCAGACAGGATGCATTTTCCACTTTCCAGTTATCTCAGGTTCGTATTTCTTTCTTTTCACAATCATCTAAATTTGACTTGATTTACCGATTATTTACACTACACAACCTTTGCCTAAAACTGTCGCCAGTGGCGTAACGGGAGGGTGTCAGGGTGTCCAGAGACGGGGGCCCCCCGAACTTTAGGGGCCCCCAACAAAAATGACCTTAAAAAATTTGATAGCACATTTCTGGGGAATTGAATTAATTGAATTGAATTGAATAAAAAAAAACCCATTCTCTGGAAAAGGCAAATCCGTCGAGAAATTTCCCGAAGCTGCGACGGATTAAGTACGTCGCGGCTGAGGTAAAGGACGAGATACTAGAATGAATTAATTGCAATTTCATTGGGTATGTCCGGAAAAAATTTTGGACCCCTAAAATGGTACAATGTCCGAAAATTTTTTGGCGACGGGGGGGGGGGAGGAGGTCGCCAAAAATAAATTGTTCCGAGAAAAATTTTTGGAGCCTATTTTTAGTGGAGCAAAGGGGCCCAAAGTGGCCGATTGACGGAGGGCCCCCAGCGGTTGCGTTACGCCACTGCGTTGGTGTGCCGCAAGGAAGCATATTGGGCCCGTTACTTTTCTTGATATTCACTAACGACTCAATGTCTTAATAACTGTAAGTCGATTCTTTATGCTGATGATATATTATTGTACTACTCTGCAAAGTCAACAACGGAACTTGAAGTTAAAATAAACGCTGATATTACAATCACTTTCACACTGGCTAAATAACAATCTCCTAACTTCATAGGCGTCAAAAGATCGATAAGTGGGGGGCACCATATTCATATATTCGTGTTCTGCATTATTAATTTCTTTTGAAATCGATTGTTTTTAAGGTCTGTGAACACGAATATATGAATATGGTCCCCCCCCCCCACTTATCGATCTTTTGACGCCTATGCCTAACTTTAAACTACGAGAAAACCAAGTTCATGATCTTTACCAACAGAAAGCAATCGTTTATCAATGTAAACATTACCATTCAGAATGAAAAAGAATCATAGGCGAAATCAATGAAGTATCTTGGATTTACTCTTAGTGACGATTTATCTTGACACGAGCATATTGACAAAATGATCTCCAAAATTAATCAAAGACTCGGTGTTCTACGACGCATCAAAGATTTCTTGGACTTGGATACACGTTATATTCTTTATACGTCTCTAATACTGCCACTGTTTGATTATGCTGATACCATTTGGGGTGATAAGAACAATTCGGTGCTGATGGATTCCCTTCAAACTTTAGAGAACAAATCTGCAAAGCTAAGATGAACACCCACGCTATTCTGCAACGGAAGCCTTACGACGACTAAAATGGACAACACTTAAAACTAGAAGACATAACATAGATGTATATTTATTTATAAATGTTTAAACGATTTAATTGACTTTAAATTTGAACAAACGAAGAACGAAGACATTAATTCACAGCTATTACACAAGAAGAAAAAACGACCTCCACCTTCCCAAGGGCCAAGGTGAATACAAACAAGGGAAAACAACAAAGACCAAGCTACCAAGCATCGATCTATATACTTTAACAACCTAGAACCAGACATTAGAAACGCTAACTCGTTATCGCTCTATTAAAAAAAGGTTAAAGCTCTATATATTAAAAAACACCGTGCATGTAAGCGAGAATTACATAGATAAACATAGTTCTATAACGTTTTGTATGTATATATAATATAAGTATGTTAAGGCATGTTATTGTAGATTTGCATGTTATTTTGTAATATATATGTATTGAAGTTGAAATTTATAATGCAGGACCCCACTAAAAAACAATTCTTTGACGTGGGTATCCTGGATAAATATAAATATAATAATAAAATAACTCGAAAATACGCGATTTTCATTGGTTAAGTTTCGCACTAACTTAACTGCAGTTAACTTTAGTACATTTTTATACACTGTGGAAATATGAACAGTCGCCGCGTAACTAACATGCAGTAATATACAAGCTAAAGTGACAAAATATTATTTATAATATAAGTGAATTTTGTATAATTGTATTATCCCCAGCCAACGGGGCGGAGCGCCTTTCCGGGCATAAGGCCGGGGCGAGGTACTAATTCCGCCCGGCTATTTACACTCGGGGATAGGTACGCATTAGCGAAGTCTAAAGTTCATCGATAATCGCGGGCGCATGGCTATGGTTCACCGTTTACCGTTCGCTGGGTGGTCATCCTCACTCATCTCAAAATATAGTGGACACTTTGTTTGGTCAAATTTAAAATTTGCATTGTAACGACTGCATAACGACAGCGAAATAACCGAAACATTTCTTTCAAATATATTTAATTTTTGCAAGATTTTGTAATTTTCAAAAGCTCTTTTGAGGAAAAAAACCTAAAGGCTTGCTAAAAGAAGGGAGGAAAGGCGCCGATGTTAAAAAAAAGTTAATATAATATACTATAAATATATATATAAGTAATCCAATTAAATTATGACAATTTTCTAAATATCTTATCTAAAAAGGGTGTTCCCAAGACTAGAAACTTTAAAAAGTTCTTAAAAGTCCAAAGGTTTAAATAATTCCTGCTACGTCCACATTTAGGCGAAAGTCCTCGAGAATTTCGACTACATCTCTTCTCTTTAACGGCACTCGCGAGCCTCTTACGCTCAAATGCACAAGTCTTAATATCTCAAACGACAAGCGCGTTCGCAGCCAGTCTACGACGATTGCATAACTTTCTGCGTTATTTAGCGCTAACTGTTCTGCCAGTGTCTTCACAAATAGTTCGCATTCGGTTCCCATTCCACCATTTGTTCTCGATGTTGACCTGTTGGTTGCTTGCGGAATTTACATGCGTTACTCGGACATCAACTTTGGCCTTGATATCTAATCGTGCTTCAGGACTTATGTTTGCTGTTCTCAAGTTGAATCTCTCGTTATCGAGTGGTTGAAGGTGTGACTCAGATTGTGGCCACATACTTGCAAAGTTTACTAATCACGGATGTCAACAGGTCTCGAATTCCGTCGTACCTCTGTGCCACAAAATCACCCTTTTTGCAAGACAGGGTATGGTTGATGGAAAATCTTTCGCCACATGCACAATAATTTGGTAAACCGGACAATGGCGGGTCGTACCGCATTCGTAGTGAATCCCTAAACTCTTGTTTGTTTAGTCCCAAACCCCGTTCTTCAAGTGGAGTAGCATTAAGCCACGAACAGGCTCCTTTATCTCGTGCTTGAATTACCTGCGTTAGCAGTTCTGAAGGTAGAGATGTGTCTATTCTTTCCATTTTTAACTTTAAAGCTGTGGCCTTCAAAGACTTTTGACGTTTCTTCAGATCAGCTATTGATGGCTCACATTCCCGTATTCTCTTGCTCTGTAAAGTAATCGACTCTACGTGTGTCTTTGTTATGAAAACTGAGGCGGCGTATTGTTGGGGTGATTTATCTTTCAATGATGGCATGCCTAATCCTCCTTGGGTTGGTGATAATGTGAAGAGTTCATTCAATTCATCGGGAAAGTGAGGGAGCAAATCATCTTGCCCGAAAATTGTTGGCAGGAATATTTCGTTCAGAACATCTTGAATTGGTTCGACATAATTTTCAAAAGACTCGATTGTACGCATGAAGTATGTGAACTTTGATCTGTATCCCTTTGTGAATGCGATGTATGTATGCTGCATGTGGTTGGCTCTTTGCAATTTCAGTTCAGATGCTTACACCAGTTATATAATGATTCGATTCTTCCGCCTCCCGCTGAATCATCAGGCAAACACACCTGTTTGACATCAGGTATGGAAAGCCTTAGACAGTGGATCAAGAGGGACGTGTTGATGGAATACCAAGGCATGGCCAAAGGGTCACCTTGCGTGGTACCCTCATGTGATAGGATCTCGCCCTCTCCTGAGATGAATAACCTGGAAGACTTTCGGTAGGTGTTAATAATGTACAGCCACATTTCGGGGCAGGTGATCTGGATGTTATGCAGTGCCACTGATCTATTCATTTGGTTAAAGGCGTTTCTGGCATCGATTAATAGGAATGCATCTGTTTCTTATTCTGCAAATATCTGGCTGATTCAATGAATCGCTGCTTCTGCACCCGCGATGTGACCAGCGCAAACTTGTAGAAGACCAGCTGCCTCTTTGATCTCTTCATTTATGTATTAGGATACGGTTTTTCCAATTATTCGTCGCAGTACCTCACCAACTCTAACTGCGATAGCAGACTGATCTCAGCCGACGCCCCTCCCCCCCCTGGAGCGGCGGAGAAACAGTCTGCGATGAATCAACACTAATGCCGTACAGTTGCCCCCGCACAACAGGGCGCGGAATATGATTGGTTAAAATTTTCCTTTGTGATGACGCCGAAAATTGCATAAATTACATTGTTATGTATAATAATTCATAGTTGCTCTGCGTCCGCCATCTTGGACTTGACATTTTTTTAATAATTTTAAATTAATTATGCAAAATACTTCTTACGTAACTGTACGGCTTTAGTGTTGATTGTCGCAGACTGTTTCTCCGCCGCACCAGGAGGGGTCAGCTGAGATCAGTTTGCAATCGCAGACTACACCAACTCCAATCGGCTTGATCCCGGGATTCTTGTCAAGTGGAATAAGTCTGGAGGCTGTATAACTTTCCAGAAGAGAAGGATGGTAACTCGTAGTTATTAGGTTCCTGGTCAACACAGCAATTTCTTCCCTCAATTCCTTTCCGACAGTGCTGAAATTCTTTGAACATAGGATCCGGCGATAAAGTTCAGCGTCCATTCCTGACGGTCCAGCACAATTTTCCTTGAATAACTAACTTGGCAAAAACCTTGGATATATCTTCAACAGATCTAGCTTTCCCAGATGCCACAAACTTTTTCTGTATAAATTTGACTTCTTTCATTAAGAGATGTAAATCTCCACGTTTCCAAAGAGATGATCTGCGGTCAACAGCTGCACTGTGATATCTTTGGCTTTGGAAGTCGCTGGCGGCTTTTGTAATCGAGACCTTACGATTTACGTCGGCAACGTGACGGCAACGGCTACCAATACAATAAATCATTGAAAAGAATTGAGTAATTACTAGAAAATACATTTATGCAGAAACCCTCGCCTTGCTGACAAAACCATTGTATTTTCCGAACATGAAGTATCTAAAGTAGTTGTCATGATAACACGATAATTTTTTTTTTCACGATAATTACAAATGAAAAATCGCCTAAAATATCACTTTTAATTACAAAATTATCAATTTCCCAACATATATATGTTAGGTATGATATTATACGTAATATAAGCTTCAATTTAACGTAAAATTCAACCACAAACGCTCGGCAATTAAACGTTTTAAAGTGTTCTTTATAATTTTAAACTAAACTGCCTTTAATTAATAAATGGCTTTATCGATTAACTTTGAGTTTGCAATAAAATAATTTCAAATCAGTGCCTTTTTTAACTATATTTTGCCCCCC